ATTAACAAATGGAGATGTAACAATATATATCGAAGGCAGCACCAAGCTATATGGTCTCTTCAAGTATATTCAACAACAAAGGCAAACTAAGGGAACTAGCACATCACAGTCATTGAGCACTGATAAAACTGAAAAAAACTTTATTTCCATTTACTGTTGTGAAGTGTACATTAGATTCTATTGTGCACAATGGTAAATTTGACTGTATAAATGCTGGTGAAGCTTCATCCCTCCTGAGCATTTTAGATTTTGAGTATAATCTATGCATGATCACTATGGGTGAACTTTTGAAATTACACCATGTAATTATGCAAAAGTAAAATATCAACTCCTAGTGTTAGTTTCAGAACTTGAAAACATGAGAAATGAGGAAACAGCTGAAGAAAACAGAAAAAAATATTAATATTACATATTCAGAACCTCATGCTAAAAAGTTTTCCAGTATATTGGATCTATATTCTAAAACTCCAGTCATATCAACTGGCAAAGATCATTAGTAAGTCACATTCTTTTATGAAGGATGCTGAATGCATTATGAATTTGATTTTCTGAAGACTCATTTCTACTTGTCATGCCTACTGCCTGTTTAGTCTCAAAATGCAGAGAAAATTCCCAAGTTGCAAGCATTGGCCACCATCTTTGTGGGCAACATCAACTGCAAACTTCTTGTTTCTGAATACAATCTGTTATTCAAGTAGTTGCAGTATTCAATACAGCCTTTCACACTGAAAGGAAGTCGTCAGATTTACTTGCATATGTGTTGAGGCTTGTCAAGAAAAAAACTTCATAATACCAAGGAGAACTGTGTCAGAACAACTGAAGTTGGTCAAGTTAGATATTATTCATAACTGTTTCTGGAACATCGATAGTTGTTCACTTTTTCATTGTATAATGTTTAAAGTGCACATATATTGTGTGCAAATGCTGTATGTTATATGTGCTATTACTATATGAATTGTGTTACATATTCTCTTGTACACTATACATACATATATGAAATGATATTTTTACTACACTCTGATTCTTGCTTTTATTGTATGGTCTCCCACTTTGTATAAAAATATGCAACTGCTACACATGTATAGCTTTATATAACCTACATAGTACATGTGCATACATTGGTGTTGCACTATTCGCAGTAAATATGACTGTGTATTAGGACCACTCCATATTTTTTATTTTGATGATGCTTTTGAAGTTTATAATCAGTAGAATTTTATCTATGGAAAATACTCAACTTATAACAAGAATGAAGCACATTTCTAAAATAATGTTAGTATTTTAAGCAACCAGTATATGCAAAAATATCCTGCCTTTCAAAAATATAATCAAGTATATCAACAATCAGTAACAACCCTACACATAGTTTAGTTTACGTTTTGTCGAATATCAAAGTTCCAAGAAAAATCATTTTTTAATAATTTACAGAGCTTAATGTTTTGCATTCAGTAGAGCTTATCTATTTAAAAACAGTGAAAGTGAAAAAGCAAAATGCTAGTCACAAATATGTTTATCATTTCTGTTTACAATTGTGAGGCAAAACTAAGTCATCTGTTTGCATATTGACAAAAATTGTAGGCCTAAGATCACAAACAATATCACAACAGACTAATGGTACCTACACATAATTTACAAATAACTTATAGAATTTCCTTCTTAATTGATTGATTAACTGAATAGCTCTAAAGTCCAATACTGATGACTTTTCTGACAGTGAACTGAATAATTTACTTAAACTTCAATACCTTAGCATTAACTGTTCATTCATTACTCATTTATTCACTGATTTACTTACTAATATTTATAGTAAGCTCACCTTCTACTCACTGATAGAATTTTCCAGGTCATAACATAATGCATTCTCTAACAAACACCTAAACTAAAACATTGAAAACAAAGCTTACAGCAATGCCCTTTTTCTGAATTATGAAGTCTCATGAACAATCTTGATTCAGAAATATAACAGTACACTAAACTGTCCATTTACCGAGTCTTTTTGGTACTTTTCCTAAGGTTGTGATATACAGGTGGGATGGCCTTTTGTCCCTTGCTGTCCTGTTACTGGACTTTTCACTGGATAAATGAGCTCTTTTACAGGTTGACTTTCTGCAGGAATGTTCTTCTTTGAAATTACCCATCTCACCATTCTGTCACAAAGGTACTTTCAAAGATGATCATGGTAAATAACCTTTGGCTTGGACTACCTGTCCTTCTGGATTCTGTAACCATGTCATATATCCTTTTCAGTATAAAATATGGTCCCTCTCAACACCTGTTTAAATTTGTACTTTGTCCTTTCTTGCAGTGGAGATTGTATAGCTATACCATGTTATCTCAATGGAATCCAGTCTTATCAGCATTAACATCATAGAGACTTTTCACCAGCTGATTTAAGTCTTTCCTGTGCAAAGTCATATATTACCTTATTGTCTATGCATATTTTGTGTAAGACTCTGCTCAGTGATTATCGTCAAGAAGTGAGTGTAGAAGGTTCAATGACTCTTCAGATTCTTTCTCATATATCAATAATGATGGTGTGTTGCCTGTAGCTTCATGTACTGCAGTTCAATAACTCATAAATAACAGTGGAAGATTTTGATTGCATGTTTTATTAAGTTAATCCACATAAATGACTAATTGGATTAAAAGTGTAAGGGTTTTATCTCTCCAAAATGCCATCAGAAGATGAATGAAGGGCTATTGTCCTGTTCTTTTTTATTTTAAGGACCTGATACATTTCTGCAAACAAGCATGATTCAACGTTCCATAGGCACCTCAAATCTTGAAATGAATTCACTGATGAGTTTCCTTGATAGAGTTTCTGCTTCCTGGTTAAGAATGGCACATGCTTCTGGCTATTTGGTGAAATAGTCCATCACAACTATGGTGTGTTTGTTCTCACTGTTACACTATGGAAGGTGGACCAAGCACATTGACAGAAACTTTCTCAACTGGTGTTGCAACATAGTACTGCTGTACCTGTTCCTACTAATTCTTTTGTGGACCTCTTCATCATAGCACAGTTCATATGATTTACACCAATTATCTACAAATTCCCTGCACACAATTCAAAAGAAGCATTCTCTTACTCTCTCCAATGTTTTTTTTAACATCTATGTGCACAGCTGTTGGAAGGTTGTAGAAGTGATGGAGTGCTTCAAGTTGTAGAGACTGTGGAAGTGCCAACTGTAATCTATGTTTCTGTTCACTGGTATTTCTCAATTTTCAATTTTCTCAATTCTTTTAGTTCTCCTAGACTATCACTAGAGGGAGTTGATGTTTCAGTACTATTCCATCTGATGATCCTGTAACTTCTAGATGGTACCTTTACTTGTTTACCTTTTACTTCAATGAATTCATTACCAACATTACCAACTGAAGAACTTCCTTCTTCACCTACGTTTCTTCAACCTAATTCTCATATCCTTGTCTATCATGGCATTTAGAGATTGTTTACATGCCAAAGAATCTATCATTTCATAAGGATCATTCAAGTAAGTTTTTCCAAATCTCCCACAAGCTTGGCTAAGGTCCATTCTTTCCTCTGTACCCTCTTCCAGAACTTTTTTCTCGATACTTCCATCTGGTGTGTCACTCTAAACCTGTTGGATAAAGCAGTTAACAATGCTTGACAGTTGTTATGACACTCAGCTGGAAGGTTACTTAATCGTGTTAAAGCTGATTTTTTTAAATGAGCAGAAAGATAGATAGTTTGTTGTTCACTATTCAACCCAATCACTCTCAAAATGATTTCAAACTGAGCTGGAGATGCCTCCCATGGTATCTTTCATTAGCTTTTCAATTGCACAATGTTGTTGAACTAGCCAGATAAGTTCTGAAACTAGATTTAGTAGTGTCATGGCTGGAGAAGTCCAGGAAGGTCATGCAGTCACAAATGGGACAGCAGAAGTAGTAAATGTATAGATCAAACAGGTTTTTTTATTTCATATTTAATAGTAAATAGTGTATAAGGTCGGAACACTTGGACAGGTGCAGAAAGATATGTGATTGGCTTGATCTTTACATTTACCAATTATTTTTCCCTAATGGTTTATTTTGTTACTTGTTTCTTTTTGTACATTCCTAATAGCTTCATTGATCTTTTCTTCAATTTGTTTTATTTTTGTTCTTAATTCTTCTTAAAAAATTACACCTCTTTCTTTTAACTCCTCTCTTAAATTCATGTCTTAACTATTGATCTTCTTTTGATTTTCTATAAATTTCTTGTTGGTTTTTAAAATTTTCTTTTTCTTTCATTTTAATCTTATTTATTTTCTGTCTCATTCTTCTTGATCTTCTTTTAATTTTATGCCTCACTCTTCTAGTTTTATTTATTTTCCTCCTTGATATTATTACCACAGTTTCATCATTTCTGGAAGATTTTCGATTTCACTTTATGCCCTTGTTGTCATCATTTTGTAGTTTAGTAAAAGACAAAGTTTTATTTTCACTAAAATAACCCAACTTTTGACACCAGTTTTGTAAAGTGTTCTATCACTGGGCAGGTTCTTTTGTATTATTTTGTGAATTTAATGCTACATCCAGTTTACATAATGATAATGAATTAGTTAATTCTTCTATAACGTTTCTACAGGCTATATTCACTTGGTAAAAGTTGTAGACCTAATTGTAGAAATAATGTTGCAACAGAAACTCCAAGACTAATGGTACCTACAACTGACTTACAAGTAACATACATTATTTCTTTGTTAGTCAATTGGTTAACTGAATAGATGCTACAACTCTCAATTCTAACACTGACACAGAACTGAATCACTCACTCATTACTCAGTAACTTTCCATTAATTAACTCATTGAAATGTTTACTATTCTGCTAGCTAGTGTCTACATATAATTCATATTAACTATATTTCTTCAATTTACTTTGAAAAAATAAAATACAATCAGGTGATAACACTAAAAACAGATATCCAGATTGAATCAAAATAGCAAGTCTTTGTCAAAGGAAATAAAGAAAGATGAAGTCTTCATTAACATACCTTATCTCTGGATTATACTCCACAGATGACAGAATAGGTTCAAGACAACTAGAAGGCTTCACAGAAGTGGTTTGTTCTTTAGGTGGACATTGTGCTTGAAAAACCAAGGGTTCTATCAACAACAACAAAAAAAAAATGTTGAAGTCTTCAAACTAATTTAAATGCTGCTTATATATCTGGCCAAATTAATTGAAGTTATGACTGTTTAGAAAACAAAACTAACAAACAAAGAAAATGTAATCAACTCCACAGTACTTCAGGCCTGTACACATAATATTTGAAAGTGGGGTTATAATTTGTGAGATCAAAAGCCAACACATATGATGTGAAGCACAGTCAGCATGCAAAGCATGCTAATGCTACAGGAGGCTGAGGGCATGCAACTATTTCAAACCAAACAATGCTATATGATGCTTCATCAGAAGAATTTGATTTTAATCATAATTTTTACATCACAAAAAATAGGAGATTTGGACAAACCACCCACATGTACAAGCATGTACTTTAAGTTTTGAAACTTAGTATTATGAAGAATTACAGTTGTGTTTCACTCAGACACACAAAACTAAAAATTAAGAAAACAGAACTAAGTACACAACTATACTGATTTTTTTAATCTCTCAGAAAAAGCTTAACGGAAGAAACCAGAACTATACTAAACTTGTTTCCTATTGTTATAAGAACAGCTTATGTAAAGAAACACAAATATACTAAACTTGTTTCCTATTGTTATAAAAACAGCTTATGTAAAGAAACACAAATATACTAAACTTGTTTCCTATTGTTATAAGAACAGCTTATGTAAAGAAACACAGAACTATACCAGACTTGTTTTCTATTGTTATAAGAACAGCTTATGTAAAGAAACACAGAACTATACTAAACTTGTTTTCTATTGTTATAAGAACAGCTTATGTAAAGAAACACAGAACTATACTAAACTTGTTTTCTATTGTTATAAGAACAGCTTATGTAAAGAAACACAGAACTATACTAAACTTGTTTCCTATTGTTACAGAAATGGCTTAATGGAAGAGACATAGGACTATAATGAACTTGTTTCGTAGTGTTACAGGAACAGCTTCGTGGGAAAAAAAACCCTGAATTATACTAAACTTACCCAGTTTTTCAGGAATAGTTAAGTGGATGAAACACAGAACTGCACTAAATTAGTTTTCTAAAAATACAGGAATAGATAAGATGAAAAAACATTGAATTATAATAAACTCATTTTACAGTTGATCCTGCATGACCTAATGGTGAGGGTGTTCGACCTGCTTTCTGCAGGTTGTGAATGCAAATCCCATCACCAGATATACTCACCCCTTTCAGTTGTGGGAATATTATAATGTGATAGTCAATCCCACTTTTCATTGGCAAAGAATAGCCCAAGAAGTGGCAATAGGTGGAGTTGATTATATGCCTTTCCCTCTAGTCTAACACTTTTAAATTAGGAACAGCTAGTGCAGATCATCCTCAAGTAGGTTTGGACAAAATTCATAAAAGCAAACAAATATTTCCAAGTCTTTCCAGTATATCTTAATGAAAGAAATGAAACTACATTGCACTTGCTTCTTAATGTTAGAGGAACAGCTTGTTTGAAGAAACACAGAACTATACTATGCTTCCTTTGAATGATGTCTTTATTGAAGAAATAAAGAAATGTTATAAACTTGCTTCCTACTATTACAATATTATACCAAAATTATATTCCAGTATTTGAGAAGCAAATTACTGAAAGAAACAAACTACATTAAACTTACTTCCAAGTGTTAAAGGAACAACTTACCAGATGAAACAAAACTATAGTTAGCTTAATTTCTAGTGTTACAGGAACATCTTACTAGAAGCAAATTTTGAAGAGATGTGACAAGAATTATCTGTTGTGAATTGAGCAGCTGAGTTATTTGGAGATACTGACCAGATGTGGAAAATTTTTAAAGATACATTTTTAAATATCCAAGGTAAACATATTCGTTGTAGAAAGAAAAAGGTAGCTGCAAGTAAAAACCAGGTTGGCTAACAAAGTGTTTAGGAGATAAAATTAAAGAAAAGCATCAAAAATTTAAGATATTTAAATTGACTGGTATGACAGGAGATTTAGAAGAGTGCAGAAGATCAAGAAAATTACTGAAATAGGAAATTACGACATCAAATAGGATTTATGAGAAAAGGTTGGCTGAAAATGTAAAAAATTAACAGTAAGGATTTCTTTAAATACATTAAGGATAAACAAAATGTTAGGATGAGGGTAGGACCCTTGAGGAATGATAAAGAAGGCTAGTATCTGATGATTATGAAATGGCTGGGTTATTCAATATTGCTTTTTCTTCAGTTTTTAATAACGAAGATTTAAGTAGTATTCCATATCTTGAACAGTTGATAAATGGAAAATATATCAAACAAGATGACTGCATTAATTCTGAGCTGGTTAAGAAAAAATTGGGAAGTTCAAAAAACAATAAGGCTCCTAGGCCAGATAATCTTTCCCCAAGGGTTTTGAAGGATGTTAAAAATTGGATATGTGAGCCACTTACTACTATTTTTTGTCAGTCCTTGAATAGTGAGAAGGTACCAGAAGAGTGGAAGTTAGCTAATGTAACTTCTCTTTTTAAGGGAAGTGATAAAATTGTCCCAGTAATTACAGAAAAGTTTTGGAGGGTCTGTTAAAAGATGCTTTGCAAAATCATTTATCAAAGATTAGAATTTTATTGAATAGTCAACATAATTTCACTAAGGGAAAATCTTGCCTTACAAACCTTTTGACATTCTTTGAAAAGGTTACTGCTTATGTAGATGAGGGTAAGGGTCTAGATATTGTGTATTTAGATTTTCAGAAAACATTTGACAAGGTGCCACATAAAAGGCCTGTAAAAAAATTATTTCTATAAGTGTGGGGAATAAGTTAGTTAATTGGATGGAAGAAAGCAGAGAGTTGTTACAAATGGAGTTCATTCAAACTGGATTAATGTCACAAAAGGGGTACCTCAGGGTTCAGTCTCAGGACCCTTGCTCTTTTTGACTTGCATCAATAACATAGATGAAGGAATAGTCAATAAATTACTTAAATTTGCAGATGATATTAAGGCCTTGGGTGTTGCTAGCTGTGAAGAGAATGATGCTGATTTACAAAAGGATTTAGATCATTTAGTGAGTCAGGCAAATAAACGGCAGATGGACTTTTAATTATAATAAATGCAAGATAATGCATGTGGTTTATCATAATTTGAATTATAAGTATAATTTGGATGGGAATAACTTTAACAGTGTTATGAGAGAAAGGGATCTTGGTGTAATAGTCAATCAGTTTCTAAAGCCATCCAAGCAGTGTGATGTTACGAGTGGTAAGGCAAATAGGATACAGAAATATTGAGTACAAGTCTAAAGAGGTTATAATTTCATTGTACAGGTCACTGGTTAGGCCACATTTGGAATATTGTGTTAAGTCTTGGCCTCCTTACCTAAGGAAAGACATTAAATTTTTGGAAAGAGTTCAGAGAAGGGTTACTAGGATGGTGCCTGGGATGGAGGGGTTGTCTTATGAGGAGAGGCTGAAATCTCTCAAATTGTTGGGGGATATCTGATTGAGGTTTTTAAAATTGTAAAGGGAATTGATACTGTTGATGCATCATCTTTTTTCATATTTAATAGTGAAAATAGTAGGACTAGGGGACACAAATATAAATTTTAGCAAGGTAGGAGTCATCTTCAGCTAAGACAGTTTCATTTTTCTAACAGGGAATGACCTTTGGAATGGGCTGCATTTGGATGTTGTAGAGGCAGTAAATTTAAGTGCGTTTAAGAAAAAGATTGATAAGTATATGAATGATAAAGTCTGGCTTTAACAATGTTTTTTAATTATTATAATTTAGTTCAGAGGATGGAACAGCTGGCATGGACTAATAGGTCCCATGTTGTCCCAAAATGTTATGTTAGAAGAAACAAAACTATACTAAACTTGATTTCTAATGTTACAGGATCAATATATTAGAAGAAATACAGAGCCATACTAAACATGCTTCCCGGTATTAAAGAAGCAAATTACTAGAAGAAACCCAACTATATGAAACTTGATATTTCAGGTGTCCAGTATTATAGGAACAATGTACTTCAAAGAAACATAGTACTATACTAAACATGCTTCCCAGTATTACAGAAACAACTTACTAAAAGAAACAAAACTATACTAAACTTGCTTTCTAGTGTTATAAGAACAACTTACTAGAAGACACTATCCTAAACATGTTTCTTAGTGTTACAGGAACAACTTAATGGAAGAAACACAGAACTAAACTACACTTATTTAACAGTTATAAAAATATTTTGTTCTATATTTTTTTAGTCATCACTGTATTTACGTAAAGAAAATTGAAATTTGAAGGCATGTAAGTTTCAAAGTTTAATATTCTACTTGTAAACATGAAACATTTTTATTCACATGTATATTATATATATAGCTGAAATGCTTTTATATCTATTCTGTAGGGTGAAGTATGTGTTACAGTTAGTTTTGTTCGTAACTTCCAAGTACATTAAATTATTTTAATAATAATTTCAATTTAAAAGGATTGAGTAAATATAAGGGACATTAGTATACATATTTTACACACCATGCCCCCCCCCACACACACAAACATGGAACTCAAAAAGTATGTTTACCTGTAACAGCATCTTGTAGATTGAGTTCTTTCAGCCTTTCACTGCTGAATTTACCAACACTGCTGTTATCTTGTTCTTTGCAGTGTCTTCTCTCAACCAGTGATTTTACTTCTTTATTGGAGGAGGATTGAAAATGGGAAGCACATGAAACAAGAATGGGTTGAGGAGTTTTGGGTTGTTGAAGTCCATGCTGTGTTCTCTTTTGTTCTCTACCATGCTGAAAAGTAGACATAGAAGTTGAATGTTGAATATCCTCCTCTGGCAACATTTCTTCAGATGAATACTTAATATAAAATGTGGAACTTTCTCTCGTTGGTTTTTTAGATATAGATAGAGCCTTTGTTTTCTGCAGTAACATTACTATCTTTGGAAATGACTCCAAGTGTTTTCTACTTCCTTTTTCTGGAGCATTTTCTGATAAGCTCACAACATTCTTATATTTCTTTCTTCTCACATTAAAAGGCATTTTCACACGAAAATCACTTTCTGTGACTGTTCGCCTCCTAACAAAATGATAATTACCTTCAGTAGTAGGTTCGTGATTTGGTATTGTATTACTCCGAGTTGGAGGATACTTCTGGAAGTTCTTTATATTCCTACTGATTCCAGGATCACTGCAAAAGCTAAAAAGTTTTTTTCTTTCTCGAAGGGCAACTTTATTTGACAATGTTGCTTGGTAAATAGATTCATACAAGTGATCAGGTTCTGCTAAAGTACTTCCACACTCTTTATCATTCACCTAATAACAACTGAAATAACAAATCTTTTTTCATTAAATGCCTTAGCTAATATAAAAGCACTTAATATATTTTCAGTTAAAACCTTGAAAAATTAAAAATGTATACTAATAATTATGATAAGACTAATCATTCACAAGAATAGTAACATCTGTTATAAAATAAAGAATAAAATATTACTATTAAGAATAGCGGTGAAAATTAACATAAGATGTGATAAAAGTATGAATTTAACATACTATTTTTATTTATATTTTGTGAGATAATTCTAAACATGTGAAATATTTTATGATCTGTAGAATATGGGATTTAGAATTCAAAGTTGCTCAATATAAAAGCCTTTACTTTCCTCCATTTGTAGTTAGTTTTAAGTGTGAGTAAAGATTAAATCTTTATCAATAAAAATAAAGATTACAAACTGAAAAGAGGGAGAATCAAGTCAAAATTCTATATTTATTTTGCAACTGCATAGTTGTCATAAGAAATGTGTGTTGTAACCTAATATCCTAAGATAATACACAAATAACTAGACTGAAACTAGATACAACAAATTAAACATTTAAAATACCTTCTCCTACTAACAGCCAAAGCATATTTAAAACAATATTATAATATCTCCTAAGTGCGTAGATTGAAACATTGCTTTTTGGTCACTTGAACTTGATATTTCCTGACTTCCTTAGCCTCTGCAATTACTTCTATTCTAAGTCCAAAAGTCCTCTAAATGTGGCTTGAATCAAAAGTTGTAAACAGATATTACTAAAATGGTGAGCATTAATCAAAAATCACTTATCATTCTGTAAAATGTTGAATTCAAGTATGTTTCCCATATGCATGGGCATCCACAGGAAGGGATAAGAGGGAGCATTTGCTTCCCTTACATTGCACAAAAAATTACATGTATTATGATACAAGCTTAACATTGTAGTTAAACTAAATATTTTTAGTAATTTTTATTAAAACTGTAAATTTGTGTTTGCATTTAAGCAAACATAACACATTCTTTTAGTCTGTTGACTTACACTGTAAAAGCTGATCGGCCCAACATACATATTTTGTCCCCCTTGAAAATAGTTCTGTGGACACACATGCTCATATGTCATGATAATTCCTACAAGTCTACCATGCATGAGCACTACTGAAATGTGCAATTATGTGATGGCATCTATCATGCACGTGCATCATGAAACATGTAATTATATGATAAGTGATACACCATAAAGTAACTGGGTCACAAGATTCACAAACCTGGATATAATGGAGAACTGTTTACCCATAGTTGGAAGCTGATACTTGGGACACTGGAAAGTATCCTATAGAGTAGCTGGATTGGTTATGTAGGACTATTATCATTATTTCAGAAAGCTGCTAAACTATTATTTTTGAGGCAAATCAACTTTAGCTGAGGCAATTCCAGAATACATGTTATCAACATGTTTTATAATAATCTCATATTTTGGTGTACCAGTTTTTGTTTTATATTGTATAAGCAGAAGGCCAAAATGACACTTTTTAAACATATTGACAAAGTTCTTACCGTGTTCCACATGGCAGAATCCTTTTCTTCTGCATTCACTCCTCTACCATGCCCTTTTCTCTTGGAGGAGACCATTAAATTTTCTCTGTAAAGATCACACACTTTATTATCTTTCTGCTTTATTTGTGACTGTGTTTTTAGTCATTTAATGTAACAAGATTAGAATTTATGATTATCTTTTCTGTGCTATAATACAACAGGAAGCTCACAAACTATAACACCCTTCAGCCCTTTTATATGGCAAGACCATAACCTCTGATTACTTTTCAGCACATTAATGTGATAAAATCCTAAATTATTATAGCTTTTAGCACTTTAGTGTGACAAGATGAATCATAAATTATGAATACCATTCAATTCTTTGATATTACAGCAAGTACATCAATGTGTGAATTTAATGAATGTTTGTGAAACCAAGATTCATAAATAAATAATATAAAATTAATTCATAAATTTGTGATGGTATGAAGTATGATGGATTCCAGTACAATTAATTTTTGTATTTTAAGAATTAAAATGAATTTCAAACAAGTACTTACATACTTCTGAAATACTATAAGTATTTGCTTATTGTATATGTGTCAGAGTTTCTTTACAATCTCTGCTTTCTTTTCATAACTCAGATTTTACTGAAAGTTGTAGTCATGATGCAAAATCTGATTATGGGGAGGTGGGTGGGAAAATATTTAAGAAATAAGTACCTGTCTGCACTTCAATTCTAAAAGTTTGAGAATTAAGTAAGGTTGTATTTCCTCTGAAATATTGTAAACTAGAACATTCACATTGAAAAGTAGGTGGGAACCAGTGAGAATGAAAATGATACACAAAAATCATAAAGCTAGAAGTAACAGGACAGGATGGTAACATTCCAGACTACAATAAAGGCGTAGCCATTAGGTCAGAGTAAAACCTAGAATCAGAAAAAAACTTGAAGAACTAGAATAAAGGGAGAATGAGTAGGGTAGATCAGCCTTAGAAAAATTGGACTTAAGAACAACTCAGAAATAATGCATTATTCTCAGCAGGGTACTCCTTCATCCATCAGTTTTGACAAAAAATACTTTGGTGAGTTTGGTAATAGTTTATAATATAACATAACATTTAAGGATAACAAGGAACCCTTCTTGTACTCAAACAGAATTACATGCTGATTGTGTGTCTCGTCATGTGCCATCATTATAAGGAATTAGAGTATACTAAACATTACACATTATATAGGCTACATTAATGTTACATTTAGGCGGTTCGCTTAACTATTATGTACTATTATATTATATTATGTACTATTATATTAACTATTATGATGTAAGTTTTTTTGGATGGTTAATGAAGGTGTTCCAAAATGCGAAATTAATTTCTTGATGACCTAATACTATGATTGAAAGCCATATGCCACTTATTCATTCAACTCCCCAAGTGATCCAAATCCTTTTGTAAAGCAGCAAGAGCATCCTCACAGCCAGAAACACCCAATACCTTTTATTATCATCAACACATTTAAGTAATTTATTGATATTCATTTATATATGTCACTGATGCAAATCAAAAAGATCAAAGGTCCTTATGTGGTATACTAATTTAACATGAATTTCTGTATTCTTATGGTATTTATTCTGAATTTATAATCTGTCCTGCATATGCACTGGTTTCACATAATATGTAGTCTAAAAAAACATTAAGTTCACCTCTTTCCAGTTTCTTTTATTCCTTTGTTGTGCAATGTATGTTAATAGCAGTGTCCTTTAATGGTTGTTCAAATGATCTATGTTTGAATGAGAATGACTAGTCATATAGGCAGTGCTAGTTTTTCGGGTAAATATAATGCTTCTTGTGAAATAAGAAACAGTGCATGTCAGATTTTAAAAATAATATATATATATATATATATATAGTGTTACATATCTGCTTGTTTGATAATTTCCTGGAAAATCTCTTTCCGAGAAACTTCAGCGATACAAGTCCCTTCTTGATTAAAACTAGTTTATTCTTTCTCGATACATCAGACTTATATACTAAAAAAAGAGGGCGTCTCGACCAGACTAGAGTTTCCTGGCAAATTCATGATCCTTCGAGAAACTCCAGCATGTATGCTCTCAGCGTCACGTGACTTCCGCTGTCGTAACACTGTCCTTCCTCAGTATTGTTTGCCCCGAACAATAGCCACTTACATTTAACCAATAGATAATTAACAATAACTTAATTAAATGTACAGAATTTACAAACACAAAATTATTCCATACTGGTCTCCATCTCATTTGCTTCTGCTTCACGTGGGGTTCATCTGCTCCATTAGGAAATGTCCCATTATCAGTAGCAGTCACACCAGTGGTAGTAACTTTATAAATGGCTTCACTGTTTTCCTTCTCAAAACTGGGTAGAGTTTCTTCTTCGACAGTGGCTTTTTCAGGTGACATGTCTTCAGCAGCATCATTTGTTCCATTGTACACTTCGTTCCAACTGAAAAGTCCTGGACCATGATAATGCCAAAGCCTGTTGGCATGCGCCACATTTGGCTTACCTTGCCGACCACATTTTTTTTGGCAAGTCATGTCTGAGAGACGATCCACTATGTCATATGGGCCTTCCCATCGAGAAGACAACTTAGGAGACTTCCCTTTGGTCTTCCTGGGATTATACAACCACATCTTGTCTCCTGGTACAAAGCTGACTTCAGTAGATCTGTTATCTGGTCCACTGGCAACCGATGTTCCAGACCAAAACCAGCTTTGCTGGAGTGTATCTAGTGGCATCATGCTCTGCTGTTCTATAGGCTATCAACAGTGGAGGAAGTAAGACATTCCACTCATCTTGGCAGCTATTACAAAACTTTGCCAATTTCTGTCCCAGTTTCCAATTGTACTTTTCTACTATCCCATCAGACTGTGGGTGAAGTGGCGTTGTCTGGGTCTTTTGTATGCCAAACAACGTGCAGCATTCATGGAACACAGCTGATTCAAAGTTACGGCCTTGATCTGAATGCAATTCGTATGGCATTCCAAAGAACTCACTAATAGCCGAACTACAGTTGTAACTTCCTGATTTGGTATTGCATATGCCTCAGGCCACTTGGTGAAATAATCCATCACCAAACAAATGTACCTGTTTCCAGCACGAGTGCGGGGCAATGAATCAGCAATGTCAATGGCTACTCTTTCCATTGGTGTGCCAACTTGATATAATTTCAAGGGAGCATCTCCCTTATGCTTGGGTCCCCTTTTAGCACAACATGTACTGCAGGTCCTGTACCATTCTTCCACATCTTGCTTCATACCTATCCATAAAGCTTCTGCAATAGGTGACTCAATGTCTTCTTAACTGCAAGATGTCTTCTTGTTAGACTATCATGGGAATGACGTGGCACAACTTCTCGTAACTTTCTCGATATAACTGTTTACCAGGTCATCACTTTCCCATCTGTAGTTTCCCATCTCCGGACAAGAATACCATCTTCAAGCTTCAACTGGTCCCATTTTTGCAGGGTCTTCGGCTCAGTCCGTCGGCATTTCCATGATATTTTCCTTTTCTGTATTCAATATCATAATTATACTGGTCTATCTTTCCAATCCAACGTGCCAGTTGTCCCTCTGGGTTCTTTAATTATCTTATCCAGCGTAATGCAGCATGGTCTATCCTGATGGTAAACCTGGCACCATAGAGGTAAGGATGGAAATATGTCAGACTCTTTACTATAGCAAGGAGTTCCCTTTGTGTTACACAATAGTTCCTCTCTGATCTACTCAGGACCCTACTGAAGTAGGCGACCACATGTTCGTTTTCGCCCACTTTCTGAGATAACACTCCTCAAATTCCGACATTACTGGCATCACAATCCAGTATGTACGGTAGTGAGGGATTTGGAAGCTTTAGAAGTGGGGCTTGAAAGCATGCTGGCAAGAAACTGTCCATTCAAACTTCTGGCCCTTTTTTGTCAAATCAGGTAGTGGAGCAGCTATAAATGCAAAGTCCTTCACAAACTTCCAGTAATAGGTACAGAGTCCCAAGAAACTTCTTAACTCTCCCACATTGTCCGGTGTTGGCTAATCATGCTCTGCTTTCACCTTGTCAGGATCAGTTTGCACACCATGCTCACTTCCAATGTGACCCAAGTAAAGCACTTCTTTCTGGAACAAGTGGCATTTCTTGGGATGGAGTTTAAGGTTTGCTGCTTTCAAATGCTTGAATAATTTCTTTAACTGGGACATTTCCTCATCAAACGTTGTTGCAAACACAATGACATCATCCAGGTACTCCAGGGCTATCCTCCATTGTAGGCCTTCCAGTACTCTTTCCATCAGCCTCTCAAATGCTGCTGGGGCATTGCTAAGCCCGAATGACATCACACAGTATAACTAAATAACTAAATGCAGTCTTAGGTTTATCTGTTTCAGCCATCTTCACTTGATGATAACCCGACTTTAAGTTCAGAGTTGAAAACCACCTGGCTCCACTTATTGCATCAAGAGTATCATCAATTCTTGGCAGCACATATGAGTCCTTTTTAGTTATACTGTTAAGAGCCCTGAAGTCCACACAGCAATGTTGGGTCCCATCCTTCTTCTGGACTAACACGATGGAA